GCTGCGAACGCTGGCTTCAACCAGCAGCAGCAACAGCAGCGCACGGGCAGCTCTGGTATCTGCGAATAGATTATGACGGGAGGATATAGACCGGCGAATGTTGTAGGGCAAATTGCGTCCATGCTGCAAGGCTTGGACTTTTCGTACACGCCGCCGCCGCCGCCACCGCCGACACCGGTGCAGCAACCGATGAGCGAAGCACCGCCGGTACCATCATCGATGCTACGGATCAATGTTGGACTCGTGGTGTAGGCGACACCGAGCGATCCGCTGTGGGGCGCCAACATTGTGAGTCTCGACTTGGTCGAGAAACCAAAGCTGAAGACGACCGTGAGCATGCAGACGCTCGAGCAGGCGCGCTTGGCCAAGCCGAAGGAGGCGCCGCAGCCGGTGATGCCGCCGCCAATGGTAGCGCCGCCGTCGTATGGCCAGGCACCCATGTACCCGCCTTCGTCCATGGGCTATGCGAATCCTCCTGGAGCGTACCCGGCGCAGCACATTGTGACGGCGCAACCGTACGGTGGCATGTACACCAACACGAATGGACCCATGGGCGTCCAGCGGCAGCCCACGGCGCATACCTTCATGCCCAACATGACCCACGTCCCGCCGCCAAAATCCGCGCCTGCCGCCAACGACCCGTTTGCGACGCTCTCGTGATCGTCGTCCTCAATGCATTTGCACGAGCTCTGTGCCCATCATTGAGAGTTGATTGTGGGTCGCAGCGCATCGTTCTCGTTCTTACAATGGAGGTTGCCATACTACCTACTCACCATGCATGCTTTCGATTTACTTCAACGCCGAAACGGACTCGAGACCGAGACGGCATGTACCGGTATTACTGTACACAGCGAATGTGCATTGCGTTTGTGTGAAGGTACGAACGACGCAGCAACTGCAGAAAGACGGGTACGCTGTTGATGCCAGGAGCGTAGGGTGCGTGGTTACAAGTGTACGTAGTACGTACACTTGTACAAAAGTGTACGACCTTGTACGAAAATTTTGTATACCAAAAAATCGCGGTATACAAACCACCTGGAGGGAACTTTTTTAATAATTTGCGACAACAACAATTCTCCAATTCTCCTCAGGCGCTGGTCTCCGAACGAAGGAGCAGCTCCAGCTAAATTACGCTATGGTGAAGAACCGTGGTTAATATGCATTATTAGAGGATCAGAGGGCGATCTTTTCATTCTGGATTTGGCCGACTGGCAAGGTGACCAAGGCAAGGGCAAGGCAGCGGTGAAGGCGCCGCCCGCAGAACCAGCCGACACGGACGACACGGAGGTGGTCAAGAAGCTCAGTACCTCAGTTGACGGACGAGGGCGACGATGAAGACCCGCCCCACGGCCATGCAAGCGGCCACGGACCGGCAAGCCACGACCGGCACACGACGCTCAACTTCGCACTCCGCGAGGTTGAATCCCGCAGCCAAGTAGTCTCATGCTTACTTCATGCTTTGCCCATGCGTGAATCTCGTGTACAGTGGCCGCCCTTTGACGCAAGATGAGCCGCAACTTGCAGCGCGAGTAGGTCCAAGTGTGGTGACGCAATAATCCTCATCCGCAGGCGTTAGGGCGAATTCGCCTCGGGCCGCTCTCGATCACGCTACAGTTGTCCCGCAAGAGCCCGCGACGAGCCCGGCCCATGGGTACTTTGCAGTCTTTCCACGTACGAAGGCTCACGCGCATGTATCTAGGACAAAGCGCACCAACGATGGGCGCCTGTCCGGGCTGTCGTCAGCGACAAAAATGCAGTCCACGCGGGCCCAACTATCAGCGATAATGCTGCCAGCAGCTCCGCCAGCCGCCGTGCAAGATTCTCTTTTGGTCGACGTCTGCGACCAGCTAGCAGCGATGAAGACCGCGATGGAAGCGCAGCTGGCCGACGTCCGTCAGCAGCTGCGCGCCATCAAGGCGACGACGCAAGCGCAAACGGACGTCATCCAGACGATGAAGACCAGCTCTGAGTTCCATCTCGGCGAGATGGCGGCAGCGTGCACGGACGTGCTCGACGACATCGATCGCAACGACGCCCATCGCGCGACTCGAGCGACGGCGATTCCGATCCTCGGGGTGCTTCTACTTGCTTGCTCGTGCGATCGTAGAGTC